AGTAGCTGAAGGCCAGCTGAACTGTTCTCTAAAATGTTCCGCCCATCGTTCTAAACGTCTGGACTGGGAGCAGATGAGAGTATAATCTTTTTCCGATATAATCTCACTTACACTTGACTTATTAATTCCAGTTTCTTTTATTAGTCTGTAAAGCTGTCTTGTGTTCCCTATAGTCGCCGCCTTTTCCATCTCTTTTGCTTTCTTTACCCACCACTGCTCACGGTCGTTCCTTAGACTTTTTCTTAACCTAGATCTGATTTGTTTTCGCTCTTCATCATGTTCAGAACCTGATGGGACGAGTTTGCGAGAATCCATCAGTGTGACAGACCTTGAAGAAATCCACTGGTTCCTTGCAACTCTGTGGTTTAAGTCACTAATAGATGTCACTGCTGTTTCCACAGCTGATTGTATGCCCTTCCAAGCAACATCTGGGTCAGCCTCGTCTTCACAACTACCTAATCGTGACCTCAGTTGTTCCTGGAACCTACTTTTGGTTTTCTCGTTACTCAACTCAGTTCTAACGGGTCTTTTTAATGTGGCTTTTTTGCGTCCAGTGAGGCGCAAGCAGATGCGTGCCCGTATTAGGGCATGGTCAGAGTCCAAGCAGGTACTCCAGAATGAGCGATAATCTTCTACCGACCCTCTCCAACGATGACTGATGGCAATATGGTCTATTTGAGTCCATCGTTGGTTTGGTGTAGGGGGTCGCCATGTTAGACGATGTCTCTCCTTATGCTTGAAATTTGTGTTTGCTAAAAATAAACGATTGTCTGAGCATAGCTGCAGCAGACGATCACCATTATCTGTTCGCTGTGTCGGAATACTAAAATATCCACCTAAATGCCTTTCTGTTTGGTTTAAGCTACCTATCTGAGCATTAAAATCACCTGCTACGAGTACTATGTCTGAGCGTTTAGCTTTCTGAAGAAGTTCAGAAAGCTTTCTGTAAAATTCATCTTTCACTTCATCTGAGCTGCAGTCAGTGGGAGCGTAGACAGAAACGACAAAAAGGCAACGACGTGTGTCCCTATCCTTCCGAGTTCTTACGGAGCCGTCCGGCCGAACAGCACATAGACGACTGTTGACGGGGATCCACTCTAGCAGTGCTTGTTCGGCCCTCATGCTTAGTGCTATGCCTACCCCTGCCAGTCTACGAGAACTGGCCATCGGGTCACCAGATACACGAAGGGTGTATCTCGTTGGCTCTCCGTTCTGCCGAGGTGAGGTCAAGTGAATGACCACACTGGGATCCTGTATGCGTGTTTCAGAGACACAGCATACATCAATGGAAAGAGACTCTAGGGTTTTAGCCAAGGAAGCCTGCTGACCGATTTGACATAGAGTGCGTACGTTGAAAGCTCCAATGTGTAGTTTGGAGCGAGGTTTCAGTAGACCTGGGACAGAGTTTTGAGCACTAGAATCGTTGGCTATGGTGACACTTGAGGAGGAAGCCGAAGGAGGGAGTTTAGGGTTGAAAGTCGATGTAGGAGGAATAATAGGAATTGAAGAGGAAGGTTGATTATGAATACAGTGGTCTTGGGTGCTGTTAGAGGTATGAGGGCGGTTATCACTTCCCGGTTGCCCACACCGTGGAAGGGTTGTTCTGGAGGTACCTGAAAAGGAAATTGGATTAGAGGCGGTCTCAGTGACCTGAGAGCGTGACCGCAGTGCCCAAGGGACAACTGCTTGAGGCCGGTCGCGCACGGCCTTTTCGTGGAAGGTTTTCGACGTGTTAGCTCCGTTCTTCAAAGGGCCTTACCGCCGGAGACGGACATCCGTGAGGTAAGGTGAGGTGTGCATTTTTAGGGTCGACCTTTTCTAACCCCACCCCTCCTTGTGGGAAGGCAGCATCGCTGTCATGCTGGTTGTCTGAAGGAAACACCTTACTGCTGTCACACCTCTGTACAGTCAGCAGTACGACTTCGCCTTCGGACCTTGGGTTTGTTGCTTTTAGTCTTACCGCTCTTCAACCGACCTGTCTGACATGGTAGGACCTTGAGGAACGGTTGTTCCAGCCAGTATAGCTCGGTTGCTTCATCACGATAGGCAAGCCCGACCACCACGTCAAGGTAGCAACAACGGTCGGTTTTTTTGAGAAAAACACAAGGGGTTGTCATTGTTGATTGACACGTTGCTGAAGTACAGCACCTACTGCTACATTAGATGCGTCGGTCATTACTGCTAAATGTGGATCAACCTTTCGTTGTACTGGTAATGCCTCGGTGCTTAAGGCGCTTCTCAATTGTTCAAATGCTCGAACTGCTTGCGATGTCATTGTTAATGATTTAGGTCGTCCCCTTAATAGATCAGTTAGCAGTTTTGCTATGTCCGCACATTTCGGGATAAAACGTCTTTAAAAGTTTATCATCCCAAGGAAACGTCGTAGTTTCTCTAATGAATCAGGTTAAGGATAATTTTGATAGCTTGTGTTTCCTCAGGAACTGGTTTGATGTTTTGATTATCAAGTACGTGACCTAAAAAGGTGAAGAATCTTTTTCCCAACTCACATTTATCAGGGTTGACTGCTAACCCATACTCGTTTAGCTTCTCAAAAAGCATTTTCAGGTGAGTTAGATGTTCATTTTCATCTTTGCTTGCTATAAGTAGGTCATCTATGTAAGCATATACAAACGGTAAGCCGCGTACCACTTGGTCGATAAAACGCTGGAAACTTTGTGCAGCATTCCTTAATCTGAAAGGCATGCGAACAAATTCGTATAGTCCAAATGGGGGCAGTAATGGCTGTTTTAGGAACATCATCCGGATGAATTGGAATGTGATGGTAAGCACGGACGAGATCGACTTTTGAAAAAATCGACACATCCGATAGGCTATGAGTAAAGTCGTGTAAATGTGGGAGAGGGTATCTGTCTAGTATGGTCTGGCTGTTGAGAGCTCTATAGTCACCGCAAGGTCTGACTTCGGAAGAGTTTTTCTTGGGTACCATATGGAACGGTGATGCCGACGGATTATCGGAGGGGCGTATGATACCGAACTCTATCATTTTGTTGAATTCGTTCTTTGCGATAGCCAGACGAGAGGGGTCAAGGCGTCTTGGACGTGCGAACACTGATGGACTCTCTGTCTTTATGTGATGTACAACGGTATGTGTCGGTTTGTCATGTTTGAAACTCGGTCGTAATAAGACTGGAAACTGATTAAGTAAATTGACGTATTTGTCATTCTCATGATGAGGTTTAACTAATAAATGTATGGAAGTCTCATTTGATATAATTCTTCGGACCTCATTCCTCTGTTCATCAAGGACAAGTTTCCTGTTTCTGATGTCTACCAGTATTTTGTGGAGTTGCAGAAAATCAATGCCGATTTAGGAACGAGGACGTCCGCTATGATGAAACTCCATGAAAAATTAGATTTAGGATTGAAATTTAATTGTAACCGCCTTTTGCCGTACGTCTTTATGTCAGACCTGTTTGCTGCTTGTAGTTTTAGTTTGGGGTCAGGTGTGTTTTTCTCGAGTGTAGTGGGTGGTACTACACTAACCTCTGCCCCTGTGTCGACTAAAAACAGTGTGCCCGTTCTTTTGTCTGTAACATATAACAGACGGCTGTCTTGAGAATCGTGGCCAGTGACTGCAGTTGTCATTAGCCGGCGGTCTTGGCGTTCCTTTTTCTGTGTGCTTGCAAAGTTACGAGGCGGAGTTCATTTTTTAGATTGTTTGCCGTACGTTCTATGGTGTTAACAAATGTTGTGTCTGGTAGTGCTTGGACTACGACGTCTACGGCTTCTGGATGTTCCTCTACACTTACTGTGGGGAGTATTCAATAATTGGAGCTGGGCTATCTGTTTAGTGAGGGCATCAACTGTTCGTCGTAACTCGGCGATCTCGTCAGTTGAGCTTGATTATATGTGAGATACAGAGTGAGTCGTAGACCGCTCGTAAATTCTGTCGGCTATGTCTGCTAGCCTATCAAAACCGACATCTTCGTCTCCTATCGCAAGTACCTGCTGGAGGTTTTGTGGTAGCAATGAGTTTGCGTAACTAAATTTCGTTCTCTGATTTGTGATTCTGTTTGCAACAAAAAAGCTTTCTAAGCGTGCAAACCAGAGTTCGGCCTTTCGCGGATTTAGATGAAAGGCTTAGCGAATTATCAAGTGCCATAATACGATGAAGCAAAAATAATAATAAGCTGAGGATTGTGATATACAATATGAAAAAAATCAAAAATAACAAAAGGAAATATATATAAGACTCACCGGAAAGAAAAACTGTCACTTTGGGTTTAAATATGCGAATATACGGCAATAATTCCAAAGGAACAATGTTATGGGTGGATTTATTATGACTGTCAATGAATTGTTAATAATTGTAATAGTAATTCCAATGTGAAGTTCTTTGTGATACGCTTGGAAAGTATGCAGCAGACTTTGTAGAGAAATGGTGCGTGTTCTAAAAGTGGTTCACCAAATGTTGTGGCTAATTTCCTCTATATCTGACTCCAATAAATGATATCCCGTTAACTGAGTATTTAAGGTAGGCTAAATCTCCTAGTAGAATTATGGATTTACTCGAGATTATTCAGAAGCCTGAACATCAGTTGTGGAGATATTTTATTATTAAAGATAAATAAAATCCTCAAGCGTACAGCGAGCAAGCACACTGTGGAACCAAAAGCGTGAGTGTGTGTGTGTGTGTGTGTTAAAAATCCATATATATTTTTGAGTGTCAATCAAGTGTGGATAAATTATTGATTATGTGTATGTTACAACCAATAGGAGAATAGATTAAGATTGATGTGCAGACACGCGCTCAATCACACACACAGAAATTAAAATAGTGAATTAAGCGTCTGAATTACACTGAGTAGACAAATAATACACTAGTTGAATGGGCTTGCTACAGTCCCTTCTATCCGTTTTAAATATAAGTAATTCAGTCTGTAACTACAGTAAAATTGTTAGTGCAAATTCTCGAACCGTTGCACAACGAAATTGTTAATCATAGTGTCATGGACTCCTTCAAATTTGTTGTTATACAGGGCGTGCAATTCGGCAAGTCTGTCATCGTATAGCAGAACACCATCCTCCTTAATTGAGCAAAGGACAGGTGAGAGTGGTTAAGAGTTCTGTTCTCGCTCACTTGGTGGACACAACATCAAGTTGACTTGAATAAAGCTTTTGAGGTTATGCACCATATCCAATCTAATTAACCACATGATTTACGAGTTCGTCTGTTACATACTGCTGAATCTATCGGAATCCATGTTCGTAAATCTTACCTTTGCATCCAAAAGAAATCTGTACAACCACTCTCGCTACCTTTTCCATCGTCAAAGGAGCGAGTTTTTAGCCGAACTTGAATTAAACACTTATTTCAAAGGTATTCAAGCAGTTTTTTAGTTTCTTTCATTTTCATGTTGAATATTCTCAATATCCGTCTATTGATTCCTACATAACTACTGCAAAATTGACTTTTTGTTAAATATTTCCCATGTCTCTGGTTCATTGCATTTCTGATAAGTGCTCTGAATATATTCAATGTTTAAATTTCGTTCGACCCCTGTATTTATTTATCTGAACACATGTTGGTACCAATGGGCACGAAAACAATGTGCCACATAATAAGAAGATGGGATTGGGAAGAAATAGAGGAAGGAGAGTATGATCCAAGACAAAAAATGAGTGAAACAGTTTAGTTGATAGTACAACCGATGAGAATACTCTGTCAAAAAGTTCCTTTTCAAAAGAAAATTACATCAGAATCTTTATCGGTTCTTGTCCTAACACATGTTTGATAACATCTCAAGCCACTGAGTAACACTATCTCTCTGACCCCAACCAGGCAGTCGTTATCGTCAGTTAATTGCCAGTTTTATATAGCTTTCTCACATACTCGGCTCCGTGTTATGATCTGGCCACCTCTTCAATTTTAGTAACTAATCCCAATACCAGTATATAATGCACTATATGGAGGTCTAAGGGATGACATTCATGTAATATACGTAAGCCACCGAAACTGGTGTTTGAAGATCGTCAACGTACCCGAACACACTGCCGGATCTGCACCTTACGTAATTTTGCCACTGAACGTCATCTATCCTTTCGAGATGATAATTGAACACAGTCATCTAACATCCCTAACTTGGAGGACGCCAGGTTTCATTAACGAACTGCTCTCACCGATGTGTTGTACACTGAATTTTTTACAACCAAACCAACTGTACGACGGCATCAAATATGGCCCAGATTGGCATAAGTCGCTCTGGATTTTACTAGACTTAGATTGGTCCGATTCATCAAGTAATCTTGCTCTCTCTCTATATATATATTCTTTAACTGTTTGGATCTCTACAGATCTTAATGAGTTTTAAAGAGAAGCACTTGAAGGTAATATAGTCGAAAATACTTAGCTGCCATATCTACCTATTTACAACGGATTTATAGGGTGGGGAGTTTTGTGAGCTACGTTATTTGTTGTCAGTTAATGTTTGTTACTCGGTGATATAACTTATAATGTGCATCGGATTTTGGAATCTCGTGTTCTTCAGCATGCTGTCTTGTCATTTTTAGTCCCTCGTTCTTCTTTAATGCTGAACTCAACCATAATATGTAATTTTGCTTATGATCTACTGGTTACCGTGTTTATTGTGACTCATTTTTATAAACAATTGCTTAAAATATCACAGTATGCTACATTTCATCTTCGTGAGTTTTAGACATTCAGTAATCACATATTCTTTTCCTCATTGTCAATTTACAAGAATTTGATTGTTGAATAAATAATACTAGTAACAACTTGTATAATGTTACAACAATCCCGGTTATCAGTTCAGTTATTTTGTTTGATTTGGGGATTATGTATATTTTTCTCATCGTAAGTGTGATGGTACATTCTTTCTTTGGTTGTAAACGTTCTACTAAGTATTTGTCGTGCCTTGGTATCAATATATATATCCCAATCAGTTACACCTAATTGCCGTGCAACAATCCAGCCATGTAGTTTTTCGTTTACTATGCACATGTACTTCGTTTATTCTATTGGTACTGATCGTTGTTTTTTTTCATTTGATTTCAGATCAACCCAATCCGTTTACCATAAAAAATGTGTGAATAGTCTACCATGTATATTTTTGCTGTGCATTTATTTTATATTTTTCAAATGATGTCTATTTTGCAGACTTAAATTAATTGTATATACTGTCCAAAACCAATTGAATCTTTTAATCACTCTATCGAAACTGGTCTTTTGTTTGTTGTCTATATGCACCTTGCGTTCACCAACCATCCTCTTAGAGAGGACAAGCGGTAGGTGACTAGACTTTTGCTTTTCTTAAGCCGAAGTCCCGTATATCAATGTGTCTGTAACATATGTCAACAAACAGTTATCGCTAAATTGACATGGTTCTGGCTAATAGGGGACCCTTGCTGAACATAGCTTGTTGTTCAAGGTAAAATAGACTCACTGCGAACAAAAATTATTTTACCTTTATATGACTTTCGATATTGGTCTGATTTATAAACTCTTGTTTCTATCCATAAACGTGATGACTGTGACGACCACGTCTGCAAAGCACTAAGGGACTAGGGACTACTCAGATACTGACGTCTAAGTTTCTTCAGTGCTCTGATGCACGTAAACAGACAACTGAAAACCAGACAATGTTTATTATGATTGTGAATTACGTGACCAATATGTAGAGCGGCTACGCTTCTGGAAACAAAATTCCGGCTATGTGACGCATAATAGGGATTCAATTCAAATACATCGGTTTTCACTACATTAATCGTATTTTATATGTAGAAATCGTTATGCAAAAGCTGTTGCTAGTAATTGTAATACTGGACGCCGAGATGGGATGTAATCTGTTGCCTAAATAATCAGAGAGGGATGTAGCAATTCAGCGTGGCGAATTTTATCCAATAATCTTGACCGAAATGTACTTGACTTAAGCTGTACGGTGATCGTAGCACGACATTCCAGTTTAAAAAACCTTGCGAACTTAAAGGCTTTATTGTATATAGTTTGTGGCATTTTATCCAGCCACTAAACACCCCAGAGTTAATTATCCCATCGGTTACATTGCATTCAGGTACATAGACACAACTGATACTTGTTGTTGAACTATAATATCTCAATTCGACGGTGGCCATTCGGATCTATCAACTCTCTAATTAATGCGAATGATGAGATGGTGGACATTTTGATCGTTCTCCGGAACGACATCACCACAAACTTCAGATGAAGTGTTCGAATTTCTCCACATGTGGTTCACAGCTTGTCCTTTAAACCAAAAGATGAAACGACAAAAGAACTCGTACCCTGTGGAAATATGAAATTTATTCTGACTCTAAGCACCTAATTATTTATATTTGATTCAAATCAGTCACGGTGGTGTACCAGTACTTGAGTCCGTTTTAGAGATTTCAGTTGATTGGAACTTGGAGTCCTCATGGATGAGAGCTGAAGACAACGGTCAAAATGCTTGGGTTTGTTGTTTTGTCATGGGCACGTCATTGTCACTGTTATTTGAGCTAGTAGAACTTTGCATCTGGAAACGCGGTATTACTTTTGGAAAAGAAGTCGCATGACGGGAAAGGATTTTTGGATAAGAAACGGATCCACAAGTTAGATTGATGTTGTAGTGGTGTCTAACTTATTCTAGAGCTTTTATGAATTGGTTCTTCTTAGTTTAAGCTGCTTGTATGCGTCGTCGTTTCTGATCCACTTGTCTTCGTTTTGGTTGTGACGTTTTGGTTTCCGCACCTGAAGATCCAATTCTAAAAGAACCTGACTAGTCAGAGACATTTAAGGACTGTTAAATATAAACGTTTCAATGATGAGGTCTTTCATTAACTGCAATATTGCTATTATGAATCGACATAACCTCCGTGTGAATTCTGAAATTTAATGGACACAAAAATTCACAACGATGTCAGGCTACCGTAATTTCCTAGATAACTGTTGACCTGAAGTATTTGGTGTGTGCCACTGTTGTTGATAGATATATGTAGTATGTATCATCAATCGGAAGTGGAATACCTGGAGACAGAATGTTAAGATCTAAGAAAAAAGAATTGTTGGTGTGGAAATGGAGGGGCATCAGAGTATGAGACGTCTTATTGACATTTTGTAAGTGAATTGTCTGTATGGTTCTCAAATTTTACTAATATATTCTTTAACTTCGTGTCCAAATACATGCGACCGTTCCCACTTGTGTCCTCGTTCACTGCTGTATGACTTACGGTTGTCTGCTAGTACTGAAAACTGCCTTCAAATTAGTGCATACCTGTTCTTGTTTTCTTCGGTGACTTTTCTGTATTTTGTTTCCCATGTCGTGAAAATACCCTTGTGTTGCGATGCCATACAGTTTAGCAAGTTTTTCGTTAACGAATAAAGACAAGAACATGACTTACTCGACTGCTAACGCACTAACAACACACATAGACCCGGACGTGTAGGGTGACTCACCCAATTATGTCGAGCTAGTTTATAAGAATATTTTAATAACATGCTTACTTGGTGTGAAAACAAATAAACATCGTAATCTACGGGAAGTGAGTTAGTGGTTTCATCTCTTCCATGTACCATTATCAACCAGAAGCCCTTCATTGTTTAGCTATGACATTCTATCACAGTTGATTGATTCCCACTACAATTAATTTCAGTATTGACTACTATCAATGCAAAAAATCACTGCCGAAGTCAAATACTGTTGATCGCGCTTCCACTAACAAGTTGACTAAAAGAAAGCGAATTGAAAAGTCCACGAGAAGGTAACGCTACTTAATAATTATTGTAAGTCGATTTGTCGACCGAGTTCGTGTTAATGGTTTAATTAATTTTATCAATCATAACACGTAACTGCCAAGATATGACAATGCCTTATCACGATATCTTGTTATAGTGTTGTTTTGAAATCAGCTATTTTCAACGGTCATTGTTATTCTAAGTGATTGTAAAATACCAGAAATTTGTTGTGTAAACTGATCCGGCCGGACTGGTTATATTACGAGTTGTGACCCAGAAATATTTGTTAATTTTGGTGGTAGGCTCCACAGCTTTAATTTCGATCGCCTGTTTGACTGACGAGTACTTAATTTTTTAGTAATTATACCAGTGCAGTACGATATCTTAATGCAGTTTCTTGATTATCCTGACTATGGTAACCGTCTTTCTAGGAAACTAATATGACAGCCCAATTTATAAAGTTAAATACATATAACAATAACGAATATGATGAGTTTAGTGAAAAATGATGTAGATGATTTAAGTAACTATTAGATTCAAATGGTATAGAGATGACATGATGCAATGCATGTACAGATCAGGCTAACATGTAGGCTGGTGAGAAATTTAACAATTAAAAAGGAACTTGGCCAGGAAAATCTTTAAAGCTGAGGTATGAGTTGCGGAACTACATTTAGGAATATGGCGGATGATAATACATAAATTGTCTATCCATGTTTGCTATTGGTTGATGTTTTAACAAGTCCATTTCAGTGAAGAATTTAAATTCTATTAAGGCTTGTCAATGAACTGTAATAGCTTAACATAAATATAGACAATCACATATTAGTATCGATCGAGCTGGTAAGCTATAAGTTCTAATAAATATTACAGTACGATAATATACAAGAGCATTAATCAAGAGGACGATAGAGAAATCGACTAACATAAGTATAAATCAATCAATTAAATTAAAGTGAATATGAGAATCAAGAACAGGTTGTGTTTCTTTGGCCTGTCTCAACAATGTAGAATTATGGTTTAATTTATTATCAGTACTGCTATAGTCACAGACCTAATTTCGAAATTGTAGATTTGCCATGATGTGACTACCTGGTCTATAGGATCTTACGTCAAAGTCATATCATTCGCTACACTGACTCATCCTATCGTAATGTAACGTCTTACACTTCTGAAGTATACATTTGAGCTGGGAAGAGAGTAATATATTTGACACGAAAACAAGAGGTTACATCGGGCGTCCAAGCCTGAGTTATCAAGCCATGTCATTTCGATCAATTTTTCACGCATTCCTCATTTGCTCAACTTTTCTCCTCGTTAAATGTTGAGAGGTAAAATACTATAAATATAAATGTGATTACATACAACGGAATGCAAAGCAAAATGTGGTTTTTAGTTTGTCATCAAAAATCAATGAATGCATATATCACAAAATACTCCATATTTCCTCCTTACACTTGTAGCGTGGCGTCGAGTTGAGGTTAACTATGAACACCGCTACCAAGAAACACGTGCCAAGCGAATCACAAGGCGAGGGTTGGACGTAACCAAATAGATCCATAAAATCCCCGAGAAGCCAAATATCAGAAGACAGTTAATGGACCAAGTCGAGGTTTATTAGCTGGCGATCTCGTGGCATCGAAAGGATACCGAGATCGTGCCAGGATACAACCTTGGTTACAGAAGGTAACCGAATTCGCGCGAAGTTACAGTCGAAGTGTGAGTATAAGAATGGAAGCACAAAATAGCTGTCATTAGCACAGTCAAACAAAAGCACATTAAAACAGTCACTGGTACACTTGGTTATATTAATAAGCGTTTTTATTAAACCAGTCGTGTTCTCGTGATAAATGTGAGTCACTACACACTAAACGTACGATACCCCACAAACTACCTGTAAAACAATCAAAAACACAAATGTGAATTGTCCGAAAGTTTATTTCCATTCATTATATCAATGTGTACATAACTGAGACGAAGACCATTAGTGTTTGCCTAACCAGAAAGTTCTGAATGATTGGACTGAAAAACTATCTTGCTTTATTGAAGCACTCACAAATTGGATGATCTATGCAGTCGGGTTCGTCTCCAAAATGTAACGGTACACATCGTAAAAGTATAAATAGAATGTCATATTGTTCATAAAATAACAATAATAACCACACAAAACTGTACATTGTGTTCACACTATCAATGCTGATAGAGCTCATGGTAATGATAGTGATAGTGATAATAGCAATGATGGTAATCGTATTTATATTAGTAGTGTTAATAGCGGTAATAATGGTAATCACGGAAGAATTGGTTAGTGTTTTTTCCCTGTGCATTTACTGTTGTTTTTAGACGGCTTCCAAATGTCGTGTGTTTCAGACCACACAAACTAGGTTTTATTCTGTCAGTTGAAACAGTTTTTCCCGTTCTTTTTGATTGTGAAATATTTTGCTTTCTTCTTCACTACTTCATAAGTGTATTGTAAGTGTCGTCTTACGGAATCAGATGCTACGAGATAAGATGGCAAGCTGGTTAGGTATATGACATCCATGGAGTATCGCCGAATACTGATGGGGCGTCGGTTGTCATTGATTGAAAGTCAAACATAGAATGAACTAGTAATCCTCCTTTAGGTTAAGGAAACGTAACTGACAAGTTCAGAAAATGACTCAAGACTGCCATGCTCGATAAGATCGTCAGCAATGTGCTTTGGACTATGCACATTATAAACTAAGTGCTCCTTACAGTAACAGATTTCGTAAATCAACAAAAAGTTGTTGACATAATGCGAACATTGTTTACGAAGGTCGCGCGCAACTTCGGGTGAGATAATCAATACACAGACAACGATAGGCGCTGGAACTTTCTGTACAATGCTAACGGTAACGTATCAAAAAGAACAACCGACATTCAGTTGCTTTTCATACAGAAACTTCATGTAATGAACGACATTTACTTTGAAAGTCGCATGTAGTGTGTTGTCTACGTAAGTCAAGTGATGCACTTATGGATGGAAAATAGATTGATCCATCCGCTTAATAGCTAATTTCTTCCATAAGGAAATCAGTTTCTTGATGATACCTAAGTATATCATAGGTTCTGATGGGAAACATTTTAACTTATCAAGTGGCAGATTTTCGAATGAACTTCTACCACGATGGTGGATGGATTGACTTACCACGAAAAGTGACCTCACTTCTCAAGTCGTTTTCACCATTAGGGAAATTCATTCGACCACCCATTTGTTTCCCTAAAACCTGACACTTGTCACAGCCAGTGGTACCGTTGTTTCCTACAACATACCTGACGTAACTGCGAGCTGGAGTGTCACAAATAACAGCAACTCATTTTAGTGCTAAGTGTACTGACACTTATCTACATTGATTCCTACTGCCAGCAATTCTTATAACTCAATTAAAAGTGCTGCGGACATTTTCTTCTCAACCGTTGATCCCAACTATGAATACATCACTGACTAATGGAGCTATTACGCGGCCGAGGATAGGCCACAACTGTTAGTTAGAGCTGCTGAACAAACTTAGGCCATCGTAGTTCAATCGCAGCTTCATTTCTGTGGAACGGATTTTACATAGCAAATTTTCTGATATCCTCAGCAAGCTCGTTTTCAATCCAAGATGATAATACACTCCTGTTTCGAGAAACTTCGGCTGCACGTTGTGGCAGCGACGTAGAACACTTCTAATGGATGCGGGGAGTTCGGGAGTGTACACCTGAAAGAGGTCCGGAACTACGTTTGCTTTCTTCACAGTTATGTCACCACCTTACATCATTCCAATTACAACTCTGTCTAGCTGTTGTTTCATTGAAAGAGGAATCGGTGGAGACATTTCTGAAATTGCACCATCCACAGCTTGTTAATAAATAAAGGTGTACTGTACCATTGGCTGTACAGACTGGACACTGTACGTAACTACATGGGGCAGTGACTCATTGTGAGACAATACTGTTACGCTGCTCTGTAGTTGCGGTGGTCTCTTCTTCTGCAACAACAACTGAACCGTGGTTCTCATAGTCAGTAGTCGCTATAAGATACTTTTTATTGAAGTCAGCTTTTAACTTCCTCAACCTTCTGTAAAAGGTTGATTTGGGATTGCTCATCAACTTTAAGTCTCTAGCGGCTTTAGCCTGCCTTTTAGCAATCTTATCAATCTCTAAATTATTATTCTGAAAAAAACAGTTCACTTTAGTCAGACCGAACAAAAGCATAAATCGAAATTAAGGACAGAACAAATAATCCAGCTGCATAGGGTGAGGATTTTGAAAAAGTGGTTTGAAGTCAACGACACATTGTCTCTTGTCTATTTAACATACTGAAACAAAACCTGAAAATCGGTAGAGTATTCGTGACAAAAGGTCATTATTTTTTTACGATTTATGTTTCAGTTGTAATTTAATCTCCAAAGGTATAATAACGCAATGGTGGTGAAATCTTAATCCAGGAAAATGCGCAACGCACATTTTAGGGTTTTCCCCCGAAATTCCCTAAAATTTTCTCAGACTTGGAAGACTGGGGTGAACATTAATGAAGACGACACATGCGTAATGGTGAAATGGTAGTAAGATCGTAGGAGAGATTTAGAATGTTAGAATAGGTTCAGATGTAAAATAGAACAAAAATGTGCACATTGAATAACATCTAATCAAGAGATTACACAGAAAGATATATCTTATATAATAAAGCGATGAAAACTATCAGTGTTCGGTATTAAACAATCAAAACAAGTATTGCATATGGTACATATACGAAACGAAAGCGTGAATTAATTAGAAGTGTAGAGTGCAGGGGTATGTTGTTTTGAAGAGGAATAATACCATTTATATTTAACCTCCTTTTTGACCAAAATATATGAAAAGGTTTTGTAGGTACGAGTACTGGCCCAAATCTATGACAGACTCAATGAAGTGAACGGGTAATTTCAGAAAGTGAGTTATAACATCCGAATACATTACAAGGAATGACATATCTGTTGGTGTGTAAAGTCCAGAATATAATCCTTCGTCATACACGATTACATATTTTTGAGTGTTAGATTGAGGTCCGAATCGAGCCAGTGAATCTAAAAGGTATATTGGTTATAGCATCTAAACACAATGTAAGCTATAATGCGCAAAATTCGAAGTTATCTTCTTCACTACATATAACTGTGTTTTCTGAAAGTGATAGACTGTGACTCTCTCAAATAGTCAAAACGTATATATAGTTATGTGCATATTATCATTTACGTTATGAATATGTTAAACTGAAATATTCTAATACCGTATAAACTATATCGTGTATACGAGGATGTTTCTAAAAGGAGTTGTCTTCCGTAATTATAGGTAAAAAAATTTCATCCTACTCTTTGAGAATCCTTGAAAGAACGTATGGACCTCGACCTGAGACTAACATCCAGTTTGACGCGCGTGGAATATGCGTTATGGAAGGACGAATTTTCGTAGACAAGGCCAAACTATCCACAACAAAGTTGTCTCATGTTTTGAAACGCTCGACCTTAACATGACATTGGTCTTGCCATTATACTGCATGCACTTAGTGTGCATGGTTTAGTAAGAAAATTAATTAACCTACGGGCGAATTCGTCACGTGAATTGCTGCAAGGAATGGGGGATTATAAAACCTATTCTTGAGTCTCTAACTCGTCTTGCTTAAAGTGACCCCTCAAGCTCTGTTTTCGCTCCGTCTCACAATGTTCTTGGGGTAATGCTGACCCGGGCCCACTACCGCGCGGCCGCAGCTAGCGAATTCAGAACCATCTGGGTATCAAGACGGACATTTACTAAGTCGGATACTAATGTGTTCAGAGCGGGATACACACACACTTATTGAGATTGCAGTTAGCAGCCCGATCAGTTGGCTGGAATTGCTGTCTGGGTGAATTACCCGATGAGATGCATGTAAATTCTTGGCTCGATTAGCTTCTAAATAACGAAACTTGTCAATTGGATGTATGGATACAACCAGTTAATCAATAAATAACTTTTAATCAAAATTCGTTTCTATATTAACGGGTTCAGAACCCGAGGAGTTTTAGGATAGAGGAATATGTTTGCTACAGTCCACAATCTCGATGTGACCCATATTTCAAAACTTTTGTCAAGATGCAAGCATCTGTTTAAACGATGATTCGGATATCTTGAGAAATGTAGAATGAGCAGCTGGTCAAGTAATTTAATTATTCTACAGTTTATCATAGGCAGAGCAGAATGAAAAGCCAGATACGTTTGCTCAGTTCCACCGGAGATTATGAGGTAATCTGATTTGAACTCATAAAATGCTAAGAAATGACTACAGACCTGATGTACCTTCTTTTTGTCTTCCTACCAGATCAGGAAAATCCAGGGGACATATCAGGCGAGTACGAAAGCTAAGAACGAACAAAATACCGGTAGCATACAGGTTTTCACACTGAGTAACCAAGCTCAAAGGACGTCTGAAATTAGCACGAGTCAATAAAGGTATGTCGTTATGAGAGCCGGACGGCTAAAATCAGTACAAAATAAAATGAAACTCAAATAATTAACTAAGTTTCATCTAATGAGATAATCCTACTCCTGTAGCATACTTGAAGAACAGATAGGATCTTTTGGTCTACAAATTTTCTTGGATATTATGAGAACAGGAGTGTCTTGAAAGTGTACAATTCACAAACGCAACCACTGATATAGGAAATAAATTTCAGTCAGCATGAATTTCGGTGGCGTTAAATTATTCGGCATGAAAT